GCGCGGGCGGGGGGGAAAGCCCCCCCGGGGGGACGGGGCGGGCGGAAACCTGCCGGGGTCCCGGCCACGGATAAAACGCCTGAGGGAGTGGGAAAGGGACGGAGGGCCCCCCTTGGAGCTGATCTCTCTCTGTCGGCGCTGTTGGCACAGAGCAAGGATCCCCCAGGTCCTTCCCCAGCCGGGGACAAGCCGGTTCCCCCCGGACGGTGCCACTTCCCAAATACAGCGCCCAGCGTTCACAGCTGGAGAGGGCGCAGAGCTGCTGGGCCTGGACTGATTTTCCCCCTCGGGTCACCCTTTAAATGGTTAACACAGGGTTCCTGGGTCCATTTCGGTGTTGCCTTTTCCTTCTCTTCCTCTCTCCTCCCGGCAGAGATGCCAGCATCTCCCCGTCTGGGCCGGTTTCTGGGGAACAAAGGCTGGGGACCTGGGGGACAGCCCCTCGCCCCTGCGAGCTGCTCTAGCTGCTCCTAATGAGGATTCATTTCTTTAGCCTACAGTCCTGGCTTTCATTATGGAGCCTGTCTAGCTCTGTTCATGGTCATTAGGCTGCAGCCCAGTAACTCCCTCGCCAGATCATGTGCATGCTTTAAAAAAAAAAAAAAAAAAAAAGAAAAAGAAAGACCTACAGTAATATTAGCAATCATCATCATCATCACCTGGCCGGTCTGAATTAGCTACCCACTCCCGCAGGCTTTCAACCTTCCACCTCTCTCAAAGCAGAGGTTTTTCTCCATCAGTCCCTGTCCCGGGATGCTTTCGGGGGCTGCTGGCGGAGAGGGCAGGGACGGGGTGGAAGGGGACTCTCCCTCAGCAATATTTATAGATGATATTTTCCTCTTCTTTGTTTGTTTGGGTTTTTTTTCTTTCCCTAAGCGGATCGGCAAATCAAACCTGGGTCTGTAAAGTAAAGCCGAAGAGTCTCCCCTTTTATTTTTTAAGTTTCTGTGGAGTGTCTCCGAACTCGGGAGTTTTGTGAGTGCTTTTATGCCTCCCCAGCTCTGTCGGGTTTTATGAAAATGAGCAGTATTGAAAGCTTTTCCATCCCGCTAGCTGTGAGCCTCACATAAATGATGTAAATGGCTCGAAGGGTTTTTTTCAAGTGAACTGTGTAGATCTGTGAAAATAATATCAGGGTTTTCCGTCAGAATGAGCTTAGCACTGTACTGAGGCGTACCATAATCTGACCCGACACCTCCGACCATCTGCGCTATCTATCTGCCTTCTGATTTACCAAATCTTCACAAGCAAAAGACAAATTGTACTTGATACTAAAGAAAAGACGGCGAGCCCCAGTCCAGCTCCATTTCTGCGGAGAAATGATTGGAGAAAATGTAAATCTGTTTAATTTCGGTCTACGGGCAACTAGCAAAGGAGCTTTCTTAAAGAAGGGAAGACAGGAAAACAAAAAACAATAAGAAAAAAAATAAAGAAGAAAAGAGGAGGGGGAAAGAGACAACAAGAAGATATCATATTAAGAAGGCATTTCTTTGACAAGCGTTCTAGAAAAAACAATGCATTGCAGAGAGCAGAGGAGAGAACATATTGAGCTTAATTCAGAATATATGCTGCCTTTCCGAGCACGGTCCCTAATGTGCCCGGGAAGAAATTGCCACTGAGCAGCTGTGTGTAGAATAAAGAGCGGCTTCTTGATTTTTTTACACACACCCCCCTTCTCTCCAGAAAACAAAGCGTGTCCTCACAGCTCCGAAAATGATTTCGTTCCTGCCCCGAGACGGCTGGAGGTTGCCCCGCTCCTCCGAAGGGGCAGCCGGGCGCCCACCTCGCCCCCAGCCCCGCGGTCGCTCGCTCGGGGCGCGGGGAGGAAAAACCCGCCGGGAATGATTACTAGGAGGTGATCAATATTTCAGAAGATTCCTGAAATCTGCTTTAAGTCGCTGTCCTGACCTACAAATGACTTCTCACTCCCCGCGACTATTCTCGGAGTCTATTCAGGGCCATTCAGCCGAAAACAATAAGGTTTTAAATGTAAAAAAAACCCCAAAAAATAAAAATTATGAAGCTTTAGTTGAACGGAGAAGGGCGCTGGGCTCTTTCAGACAATTCCTCGTCTTAACAGAGATGGGAAGTGACCTACAGGGGGAAGGGGGAGAGTTTTTCCCTAAATCCCGGCTCTTCTTGCGGTCTTCCCGCTGCATCCATTGTCACTGACACTCCCAGCATCGCTGTCACTGTTACGCAGCCGGTTTTTATCTGATTTCTCGGCCCTGCCTTACCACCCTCCCCGACCCCGGGTGCGCCGAGCTCTGTGCGTGCAGCACCGGGCCGGACCCCACAGCTTTACCGGGGAGGGTGTAGGGGGGTCCCGGCCATCCCATCGCGGGGGCCGCTCCCTCCAAGTTTCCGGCGGCATACCGCGGCGGGTGCGGGGTGTCCCCCGCCTCCGCCTTGCAGCCTGCCGCTCCCGGGGCGGGTGAGCTGCTCTGCCCCTG